GAGTGGTGCATTTAATCCATTAACATTCAGGGTGATTATTGATAAGTTTGAATTTGTTGCTGTCATTTTGTTATGTATTTTTTCATGCTTACCATGTTCTTTAGGGCTTGCTCAGAGACTTAGATTTTAGATAAAATGACTAATGACTTGAGAGACTGAGTTTTTAATTTAGTTTGTAGAATTTGCTTCTCTTTCTTTAAAGATAGGCTAGGTCTCTTCCCCCAAATATATTTCTTAAAAGCATTTATACCTTTCCAGCTTAAGGCAGGGCATGATTTCTTATTGTCCCCAGAGGTCATGTTTAGTCCAAGGACAGGCTTCTATGCAAGTCAGATTTCTTTTTTACTGGAGATAGAGTTGCTGGAAAGGAAAGTTAGGTGGAGCCCCTGACCTCTCAGTATAACAAAGACACCTTGGTGACCACAGCCAAGGTAATTGGACATGAATTTAATAACTGGGGGGAAAACACCCATGTCTGAGACTCTGGGCTTTCTCTGCAGGACGTTGCCCCTGGGAAACTGGCTTCTGGGGGGGTTAGCAGGAGTCCTCAGAGTGAGCTCTGAGTTTTCTGAACTCTTGCACTCAAGTAGGGAACATTAATTAAAATGCTGATATATTCAACACCACTCCCTGACACTGATCAAGCCTTATGGGAACTTAAATTTGAGAACTTAAATTCACTGGGGAGGGGGTTGTGGCCACAGCTGCCAGAATCAGATCCTGCCACCACCATCTGTACAAACAAGAGCAAACACTGTCTGAGGTGAACTTTCTAGCAAACACAGGAAACTAGAAAGTATGGCACTCATGCACTGTTAACCAAGGATTAAAGCAATAAATTGTGTGGGCCATGAGGAAGTAGGAATTAACTTCCCAGTTAGGCCCTGCTTGCCTACCCTCCTTATGATGAAATGGAGACTGTAAGGAATAAAGGATTGGGTGAGTCCAATGGTAACTTGGGGTTCTGAGCCATAAGGCATGAATCCTTTGAGCTCTCTCCCCTCTTCCTCCATGGGCAGATGGGGAAGGATTGCCACCATGGTACACACTGTGGCTTCAAATAGGCTGTGGACAGTAGCTCCAGAGCAGGCTGGGGACATTGCCTGAGAGTCAAAGTCACAGAACAATGCTTCCCAGGGCTCAGGGCACAGCTGCCTTTGTCACTGTTCTGGGAGTGCTGAAGTAGTCTCAAAGGGTGAGGGAGGTGGTCTTAGCTTGTGTGGGGCTCCACCTCAGGGTAAATTGATTTCACTTGTGGTCAGGCACAGGCATCCCTGGGTGGCACAAACAGTTAAATGCTTGACTACTAACTAAAAGTTTGGAGGTTCAAACCGACCCAGGGGCACCCTAGAACGCAGGCCTGGTGATCTGCTTCCAGAGAGTGATCACAGCCTTGAAAACCCTACACAGTGCAGTTCTACTCAGGAACATATGGCAAAACAGAATCGACTGGATGGCAATGGGTTTGTTTCTTTGGATTTTTTTGGTGGTCTGGCACACACTGCCACTTTCCAGGACACTAGTGAAAGGGTGGTGTGACCGGAAGGGCCTGGGAGGTTGGTCTCGTAGTATAGAAATTTGTGCATGGGGAACTGCTCTGCTACAGATTTGTGGCTGGATGCAGGGCCTAGCCAGTACCTGGTACATAATGTCCATTGGGAGAGTGAATGAACAAGCCATTCTCTTTTCCTATGAATACCACCTTAGAGATCTCCATAGCCAACTCCTGAGTGCTTTATCCTCAAAAAACCAAAATCAAACTCACTGCCATCAAGTCAGATCCTACTCATAGTGACCCCTCCTTGGGTTTCCAAGGCGGTATCACTACGGAAGTAGATTGCCCCATCTTCCTTCTGAGGAGTGGCTGGTGGGTATGAACCACCAGCCTTCTGGTTAGCAGTCAGATGCCTTAGGCACTACTGCATTATCCTACCAGATGTGAAAATGACATAGGGGCACATCATCTGACCTCCTCTAACTTCATAAGGAGAGAGGATGAGCAAGATCACAGTTAATAGCCCAAGGCTGATTCCTGTGAGGCAGAGGTCAAACATACGCCTACCCCCCAATTTTTTTTTTTTTTTTAACCAATTCTGACATCAACTATGCCTCCTCTAGCACTTTCTACTTCTCTTCTGGGTTTGATAATTTCTTGCAATGGCCATACAGAACTGGCCCACGATACTCATGATTATAGGGTTTATTAGGGAAGTAACAGGTTACAAGTCAGGATTAGGAATGCTCAGGATACAGTCCTACAGTCAAGGCAGGCTCCCTTCAGCCATGCCCAAAGGAAGGTCTCCCTCTGGCCCTCAGCCCCTCATCTTGGCCTCTGTCCTGCTTGGGCAAGTGTTATAAAGCTCTTTTAGCTCTGCTGATAGGTGTTTGGAAGCATCCCACTCTGCCAGTAAACCTTGGCCCAAACGCACTCAGCTTTCTTGCTCTGAGGGTCTGAAATCTCATTGCTAGATCTGCTCCTGCTTCTCGCCATCTCAGTAAGCAATTAAGCATTCTGCCTCCTGGCTTGAGGAGGTTCATTCAGCGCAGGGATCTCAGGTCCAAAGGACACACTTCTTCTGCTCCTTCTTAATGGTAGTGAGATTCTTCTTACTGTCCCTGGGATGAATCATTTTAAACCTAGCAGGATAGCAAAACTGACCAATCCCCATGTTAGGTTTCCATACACCTTATTCCCATAGTCCTACCTCCACAAGGGTACCATGCACCTTATTTACATTATTGGCAAGCTATCCAATGGGCCACAAGCAGCTCACATTTACAAAGTCCCATTCAGTCATCTGATTGGAGTCACAAAGACCATGGCTAGAAGGGCCATACGAAGTGGTTCACTACTGCACTGCACTAGATAAAGCTGGGATTTTGAATCTGTATTTATCTTTCCAAAACTTTTTTTTTTCCTTCCTGATTTTCTTCTCTTCTTTAAGATCCAACATATTGAACATGGTTCAAAATTCATACAGGTAAAAATTCTGTTATAATAAGTATTACAAAGCATTTAGTTTTAATAGAACGTTTACAAGTCCTAGTTAGTGTCGACTTTTTAGAGTAATATTTTTCCTTAGAGATATGTGCAATAAAGTTTGGACTATAATTAAATATATGTGTTGCTGGAGCCTGAGATTGAAAAGAAATTTTGAATAACTGTATGAGTTTCAGTGTATGGCTTAGAACCAAAAATGAATCTTTTTCATCACCAAGAATGGGTTGAAGCTTAGAATCATGGGGAGAGTCTGCTTCAGAAAGGGTGGTGCTATTTGGAGATAATGTACTAAAAATGATATCTTACCTATGGAAGGTAGAATTTTCAGAAGACAAGGAGGGTGTGGAGTGCATTTCTAGGAGCAGGAATAGCATATGCATAGGCACGGAGGCATGGAGTGGTGTAATGAGCTTTGCATGCTGCACTCTAGCCTGACATAGCCTGAGTGTCAAGAAGAATGGGAGACGAGGACGAAGAGGCAGTCAGGAGCAAGGACTTGGAAGATCTGTGTGTTTGGAAGAGGTGGAGTGGATTATGCCTGAAGGTGGTAAGGGGAATAGGCTTTAGCCAAAAGATTTAACCAAAAGATTTCTCAGTTGGGTGGGAAATGTTCCAGGGGAGCTCACATTCAGTTGGACCAAGCAGGAAGTTCTGTGTACAGTTGTTCTGGTCTTAGTCAATGTTCTTTAGAGAAAAAGAACTAGATATGTGTGTGTATGTGTATGGGTGGGTGTATTTATGGAGCTCTGATTTTGTAGTAGTTAAAGTATTGGTTGCTAACCAAAAGGTTGGTGATGTGAACCCACCAACTGCTCCGTGGAAGAAAGAGAAAGTGGTCTGCTTCCGTAAAGATTTATAGCCTTCGAAAGCCAATGGGGGTTGCTAGAGTCAGAATCAACTCAATGTTAGTGACTATGTATATATATATGTGTGTGTGTGTGTGTCTCACACCATGTAGAGAGAGACAGAGGGAGGGAGGGAGAGAGAGAGAGAGAGAGATTGATTTACTTCAAGGAATTGGCTCATGTGATTGTAGGGGCTGTCAAGTCCAAAATCTGTAGGTCAAGCGAAAGGCTGGAGATTCCTGCAGGTTTGCATCCCAATATCTGTAGGTCAGGTAGCAAAGAGTGCAGAATAAAGTTCTGCCAAAATATCTATAGTCTGGAGGCAGAACATACCCTAGAAACTCTCTCTTCAACTGATCGTTGATTACATTAGATTATATTTTGAAAGATAATTACATTATAATTTACTTTAGTTGTTGTTGTTGTTGTTGTTGTTATGTGCCGTTGAGTCGGACCCAACTCATAGTGACCACTCCTTGGGTTTCTGAGGCAGTATCACTACGGAAGTAGCTTGCCCAACCTTCCTTCCGAAGAGTGGCTGATGGGTTTGAACCACCAGCCTTCTGGTTAGCAGTCAAGTGCCTTAGGCACTATGCTACCAGAGTTCCATTTATGTTACATTATAGAATAGCAGGTAGACTAGTGTTTAGCCAAACAACTGGGAACCATAGCCTAGCCAAGTTGGCACATAAAATTAACCATGACAATTCTGAATAGGGCTAAGATGTGTCCATAGGTTCTTCCTAAACTATTCCATTTCTCTCCTGTACCACAGTCACTGTGATGGTGTTAACCTCACCTGTGAAGCCTGCCAGGAGTCAGGAATCCTTGTGCTGTCCCCCACGGCAGCCCCATTCAGTGCCACCACACCATACTTGGAAGATATTCCAGAGCTGCCCCTACATGACCTCTACTGCAGCAAGCTGCTGGACTTGGCCATCCTGCTGGATGGCTCCTCCAAGCTGTCAGAGGCTGAATTCGAAGTGCTCAAAGTCTTCGTGGTGGGCATGATGGAACGGCTGCACATCTCCCAGAAGCGGATCCGTGTGGCTGTCGTGGAATACCATGATGGCTCACACTCCTACATTGATCTCAAGGATCGGAAGCGGCCCTCGGAGCTGCGGCGCATTGCTGGCGAGGTGAAGTATGCGGGCAGCCAGGTGGCATCCACCAGTGAGGTCTTAAAGTACACCCTTTTCCAAATCTTTGGCAAGGCTGAACGCCCTGAAGCCTCTCGCATCGCTCTGCTCCTGACAGCCAGTGAAGAACCCCCACGGATGGCCCGCAACTTGGTCCGCTATGTGCAGGGCCTGAAGAAGAGGAAGGCCATTGTGATCCCCGTGGGCATTGGGCCCCATGCCAGCCTCAAGCAGATCCGCCTCATTGAGAAGCAAGCCCCTGAGAACAAGGCCTTTGTGTTTAGCAGTGTGGATGAATTGGAACAGAGAACAGATGAGATTATCAACTATCTCTGTGACCTGGCCCCTGAAGCGCCAGCCCCAACTCAGTTCCCCCCCATGGCACAAGTCACTGTGAGTCCTGGTCCCTTGGGGCTTTCACCTCTGGGACCCACAAGGAGCTCCATGGTTCTGGATGTGGTGTTTGTCTTAGAAGGGTCAGACAAGGTTGGTGAAGCCAACTTCAACCGAAGCAGGGAGTTCATGGAGGAGGTGATCCAGCGGATGGATGTGGGCCAGAATGGCATCCACATCACTGTTCTGCAGTACTCGTACATGGTCACAGTGGAGTACATGTTCAGGGAAGCACAGTCCAAGGGGGACATCCTGCAGCACATACACAAGATCCACTACCAGGGTGGCAACAGGACCAACACTGGGCTGGCCCTACAGTATGTCTCTGAGCACAGCTTCTCTACCAGCCAGGGGGACCGTGAGGAGGCACCTAACCTGGTCTACATGGTGACAGGAAACCCTGCCTCTGATGAGATCAGGCGGCTGCCTGGAGATATCCAGGTGGTGCCCATTGGAGTGGGCCCTCATGCCAACATGCAGGAGCTGGAGAAGATTGGCTGGCCCAATGCCCCTATTCTCATTCAGGACTTTGAAACTCTCCCCCGAGAGGCTCCAGACCTGGTACTGCAGAGGTGCTGTTCTGGAGACGGGCTGAGGATCCCCACCCTCTCCCCAACCCCAGGTAATGCAAGTGCCTTTGTGTCCAGGTTAGAGGGCTGTGGAACAGCTGGGTAGTGGCCTGGGGCTGCGTCATCCACTGAGATGGGATTCTTGCGCTCTGATTCTCTAATCCCAGCTTTCCCACTCTGGCCCTTTGTCTAGTCACTCCTTTCAGCATCATGCCTGTGATTCCTCACCTCCTAGGCAGGGAGATAGATTTGTGTTGCTTTTTTGTGGTATCTTATTTTGTATGTTTTTATAACTCAAAGGTAATTCATGCTTACTGATGAAATTTAAACAATACCAAGTATATGGAATATAAAGTGTAACTCTTATATTATTACAAAACCTCATCCTTACCCAGTGCTACTTCCTGTCTTGGAGGTAACCCTGGTTAAATGTGGTGTCTGTCAGCTCCCTTTTAACCACAGTAAATCAAGCAAATCAAACTCACTGCCGTCAAGTCAGTTCTGACTCATAGTGACCCCCTTTGGGCTTCCAAGGTGGTAAATCTTTATGGAAGTAGATTGCTCAGTCTTCCTTTCATGGAGTGGCTGGTGGGTTTGAACCATCAACCTTCTGGTTAGCAGTCAAATGCCTTAGGCACTATGCCACCACACTGGGTAGATGGAATTAGTCTAAGTAGCCAACATTCTTTGGAGCAAGGCTTTAGAGATACACATGTCAGGGAAGTCAGATGACAGCAGGATAAGTCTTCAGACTCTGGAGACAGACTGCCTGAGTTTGCATCTCACCTCTGCCACTTACTAGCTGTGTGTTTTTGGGCAAATACTTAACCTCTCTGGACACCAGTCACCTATTCTGTAAAATGTGTATAGTAGTAGTACTTACTTGTAAAATGCTTGCAACAGTGCCTAGCATATAGCAAGTGCTACAAACAAAAAAACCACACTCACTGCCATCGAGTCAATTCTGACTTATGGCAACCCCCTTTGGGTTTCCAAGGCAGTAAATCTTTACAGAAGTAGATTACCCAGTCTTCCTTTTGTGTAATGGCTGGAGGGTTTGAACTGCCAACCTTCTGGTTAGCAGTCAAATGCCTTTGGCACTATGCCACCAGAGTTCCTTAAAGCAAGTGCTAAAAAAGAAAAAAAAAATGCTACTACTATTTTTGTTATTGCTTTCTGAATCATTTCTGTATCAGAGCTCCCCAATCGGTTGTTAGTTCTTGCACACTTTTAGTTGGTTGGTTTTGGGCCATGCCAGAATAACTAGCTTTCATTGAATGCCTCTTGATCCTTGCACTTTTTATCAATGCCGCTTTTTTTTTTTTTTTTTTAAATCAGAGCCAACGATTTATTTAGATTCTTGAAACATTTCTGCTGAGAAGAACAGTCAGGACATTATCAAATCTCAGGATGGTGTTTAGACCGGTGTGTTTTCTTACTAAGTTCGTGGCTGTGTCTCCAAACATTAAAATGAGCAAAGGCCATTAATCCCTATAATACATTATAATGTCTGGGTGGTGCAAAAGTTAATGTGCTCAGCTGCTAACCAAAAGATGGTGGTTCAAGTCCACCCAAAGGCACCTTGCAGAAAGCCCTGGAGATGTATTTCTGAGAAATCAGCAATTGAAAACCATGTGAAGCACAGTTCTACTTTGACACACAAGAGATTGCCTTGAGTTGGAATCAGCTCCATGGCAACTGGTGACTGGTAATAGTATCCTAACCTACCACAAAAAGACCTGAGAACCCACGAGCTCATTTTCTAGGGTTATGGTTCTGTTTTATTTCCTTTGGCCATCAGCCTGTTTTGCCACTCTAATATTTCACTCAATTCCAGAAGAATTGCAGTTTCCTGTTACTGAGGGAGCTGATAACTCTTGCTTTCCTTGGATTTTAAAGTAATGTTGGGTGGAGTTAGAGTCTTCTCAATGTTTCCAAACCTAGGATACTCCTGGGCCTGGGAACTCCATCTCCCTCTTTCCTTTCTCCCTGGCCCGTGTTGTCATCACAAAAGACAAATAGAGATACACTCCCCTCATGGTGCCACATGGTAGACAATGCCCTGCAGAGCCTATTGATATAGGTGTCTTATTGCTATGGGCCTAGTGACCCAGTCTCCCTTTCCCCGCTGGCACTTGTGTGCTAACTTCTCTGGTCTCCTTTGCAGACTGCAGTCAGCCCCTAGATGTGGTTCTTCTCCTGGATGGCTCCTCCAATGTTCCAGCTTCTTACTTTGAGGAAATGAAGAACTTTGCCAAGGCTTTTATCTCCAGAGCCAATATAGGTGAGGGGGGTGTCTGAAGAGACAGGTAGAAAGAGGCTCCTTTTGGGGTTCCACCTGAGTCAAAGTGTGATTCCTGTTTTCTCTTTCTTCTCAGGGCCCCATCACACTCAGGTGTCAGTGCTCCAGTACGGGAGCATCACCACCATTGATGTTCCATGGAATGTGGCCCAGGAGCATGCTCACTTGCTGAGCCTCGTGGACCTCATGCGGCAGGAGAGTGGTCCCAGCCAAATGGGTAAAGTGTGGCCACAGGCAGCGATGCAGGAACCTCTGTTCTGGTCCTGATTCTTGGCATAAGTGATTGAATGACCTCAGCTAGTCACTTTGCTCTTAAGCCTTAGTTTCTTCTTCTGTAAAATGAGGGGCTAAGGCTCCTCCAAGGAGCTTTGGTAGCATAGTGCCTAAGGCACTTGACTGCTCACCAGAAGGCTGGCGGTTCAAACCCACCAGCCACTCCTCGGAAGGAAGGTTGGGCAATCCTACTTCCGTAGTGATACTGCCTCGGAAACCCAAGGAAGGGTCGCTATGAGTCGGGGCCGACTCGACGGCAAACAACAACAACAACAACAAGGCTCCTCCAGGTTATAGTTCTAAATTGTATGTTTCTCTGAGTTTCTGAATCATCTAGCATTTGACCTGAAGATCTGTGAGAGAGGATACTGGCTGGCTTAAGAACCCCATTTGTCACAGTCAGTACTGACTTGGGTGGTCTGTTCTTCATTGCCAGGGGATGCACTGGGCTTTGCTGTGCGATACATAACTTCGGAAGTCCATGGTGCGAGGCCTGGAGCCTCCAAGGCAGTGGTCATCCTAGCGATGGGTATCTCCATGGATTCAGTGAATCCAGCAGCTGAAGCTGCCAGGTCTAACAGTAAGTGTTCAGTGAACCATCTAGAAACCTTCTGTTTTGGTTATTTAGTGCCACTCTGACAAGAATATACCACAAATGGGATGGCTTGAACAAACAGGAGTTTACTCTCTTATAATTTTGGAGGCTTTAAGTCTAAGTTCAAAGTGCCAGGCTCTAGGGTTTGGGTGAAAGCCCCTCAACCTTGGACTTCAGCTCTGCCTCTTGCTCCCTGTCCACTGAAGCTAGAGGCATCTCTTCACTCAGACAGCTGCTGGCTGCTGAGGCTAACAAGCCCAAGGTTGACAAATAAAATGGCACAGTCCGATATTACCAAACAACATGGTAGGTCATAACTTAAGTCCAGAAGAAATCCCAAGATTGGCAGGGTATGGCAGGCTGCTGAACAATGACTCGGTTACATGAGGGTTCAAGTGTGCCAAAAAAATGGAGACCTTCCACAAAGCTGCTTCTTATATACAAAACAGACCGCATCCCTAAAGGATCTACTCAGCTGCTCCAGTAGATTCTACCATGGAAATGATTGCCAGTCTGAGCATGGGGAATAACTACATCTAGCTGCCTAGCCACTCAACCAGGCCCAGTCAAATTGACAACAACCTTAACTACAACACCTTCCTAAAATGCTAGAGGATAGGAAGTGGATGGAGGTTAGTTTTGAATATCCTGAGTGACTTAAGCACTCAGTAGTCACATGTGACCTGGTTTCAAATAGCAGGAAATTATCCAATCACTGTGTTATTTGGAAACTACAGAGCAATAAATGTCTGTTTATCCTTCACTTGTCTGAATGCTTTAAATGGCAACATCTCATTCCTTTACATTTGCCTTTCATGCCTAGGTGAGTCATACCTCTACCCTTTTCATTTTTAAAGTCGTATCCTTTAAATTTTGAACTCTCACCAAAATACCATGTCTGAGGTCAGAGTGATTCATTTTGGGGTCCTGAGGGTGGTTAGGGACCTCCATGTATTCAGAGCCCTTTATCAATATCAGCCTAATGGGCTGGTGGTGGTGGCAGACAGGAAACTGTTTTAGGAAGGATGCGCTGTGTCCCTGCCTCATGACCACGAGAACTCGTGTTATGAATATCAACAGAATGTGAGCCAGGACAGGTGATGTAATGGTGAGGGAGGGTTGGGTGAGTGGACGGATGTTGAGTCTTCTTATCACCTCTGGAAGATTGTGTCTTGAAAACCCTGCTCTTCTCTGAAATCTTGCTGACTTTGTTCCTGAGAGAATTATTCACTCTGTTCTCTGTACCATGTCTTAACTACTCAAAATGCATAAATCTCATTGGATTACCTTTATTTGTTACATATCTCTCTCTTGCACAAACTGGGAGTTCTTTGAAGTCAAGGGCAAAATCTCCCTTATTTTTGTATAATCTATGCATAATGCCCAAAATAGATGCTCATGTCATGTTTGCCTAATGAATGAATGTGACTTTTTTATAAAATTTATTATTTCAGGAAAGAGGGCACTAAAAGATCAGCAATATTTATTTAGATAATACAAGTCGAGCTTTCCGGAGCTGAAAAATTGCTAGCAGAAAACCAGTTATAGCCTTAAACAAATTGCATATACCTAGAATTTTCTAGAAAATGAAGGAAATTTCATAGAAAATGGGGAATTTCAGGATGGAGACTTTTCTCTTTTAGCAGCAGGAATTCAAAAAAGACTTTCACGAAGAAAGGGAGCAATTATGATTTAGAGGAAACAGATGTGAGCTTGGGCAAGTCGTTTAACCATTTAAAGCCTCTGTTTGTCAATGTAAATGGGAGTGTGCACACTCAGAGCTCAGCCCTGTGACATCTTATCCTCACCCCCTTGGTGATCTCATTCAGTGTCACAGGTCTGAATACTTTTATACACCAATGACTTTGAAATCCTTATCTCCAACCTAGACCTCTTTGCTTAACTGTATCTAGATATTCTCATAGGTGATGTGATTTAAATTGAACTCTTAACTTTCAACACCAGTTCTCCTCAGTCTTCCTCATCTTAAAAAATGTAAATTCTATCCTTCTGCTTGCTTAGGTCAAAAACCTTGACTCCTCTTTTCCCTCATACCCCCCATATGTTTCATCAACAAACTATAGATCCATCTTCAAAATACATTGAATATCATACCACTTCCTCCCACACCACCACTGGCTTCCTACTCCAAACCCCCATCATTTCTCACCTTGATTGGCATAATAGCTTTCTAACTGGAACCCCTGTTTCTGTCCTTATTCCCCTCAGGTCCTTCTCAACATAGATGTTGTAGTAATCCTTTAAAAATCAAAGTCAGCTCATGTCACTTTGCTTCAAACTCCCACTGGCTTTCTGTTACATTCAGAGGACACACTAAATCCTTATTGTGGCCTACAAAATTTTGTGTTGTCTGAGCCCCACACTCTTTCCTGCTCATTGTGCTCCAGCAAGCACATTTCTTCTCTGGGCCTTTGTGCCTCCTGCTCTCTCTGCTTGGAATGTTCTTCCACCAGATATCCTCTTGAATATCTTCCATCTTTACTTCAAGTCTCTGTTCACATGCCACCTTTGCATTGAGCCCTTCTTCAACCACCTTATATGAAACAATAACACCTCCTGCTGGGCTCTCCTCATTTTTTTTTTTTAACCCTGTTTTATTTTTTCCACATCACTTGTTCACATCTGAAATACTATCTATTTTCCTATTTGTGTGTTTATTGTATGTGTCTTCCCAGTGTAAGCTCCATGATGACTTTATCTGTTTGGTTCACTGCTGTGTCCCCATTGCTTAAAATAGTACCGGATATATAGTAAGTGCTTGTTATTATTTGTGGAACGACTGAACATCTCCCTCACAAAGTTTTGTCAAGAGAGTGTGATGATGTGTGGGGCCAGTCTGTAATATATGAGCCACTAACAGATGCTGGGTGTAGCTTTAAGCCAGTTTGATTTGAGTGCACCACCCAAAGCAGGTTTTTGTTCCTCTGCTGTTTCTAGGAGTGACAGTGTTCCCTATTGGAATTGGGGATCGGTATGATCTGTCCCAGCTGAGGATGATGGCTGGCCCACAGGCCAGCTCCAATGTGATGAAGCTACAGCGGATTGAAGACCTCCCTACCATGGTCACCCTGGACAATTCCTTCCTGCACAAGCTGTGCTCTGGTGAGGCTTATAAGAACATTCTCCCTCCTCCCCTAAATCCATTCTAGAGACCCAAGAGTGCCCATGCACAGGGTTTGGACTTGAAAGAGGATTGCTATATAGACCAGAAACTTCACCTATCTGCTCATGATAGCTTTGTACTACAAACTTCCAAGGGGCCACCAGCAAGTTCTCCGTGTATTGTTCTCTTTCTGCCCTACTGTCCATCCAAACTTCAGGAGAGAAACTCTAAACCTGTACCTTGAACAGAAGAAGTAGAAGACAGAAGCAGGGAATGCCAACATCCTGCAAGTCATGTTCTTCCCATGGCTCTGTATCCACCCTCAGCATGGGTACAAAGGGCTTTAGAACTACAGTAACATGGAGTCTAATACAAACATCCCATAGTTTAGGATGACACTAGAAAATTCTAGCAGACTTCAAGACATTTCTGCTTATTCATAAACAATTCCATGGTCACTTTAACTCATAAAGTCTTAAGTTGGTAATTAGAAACATTTTTTTAGCCATGTATGATTTTTTTTTTTTGCCTAGTTTTATATACTTTCCCAATGTAATTACGGAGCTCTGGTGGGAGAATAGTTAAAGCATTCAACTGCTAACTAAAAGGTTGGTGATTTGAAGCCACCAGCTGCTCTGTGGGAGAAAGATGAGACAATCTGCTTCCACAAAGATTTATAGTCTTGGAAACCCTATGGGGCAGTATGATGTTTTTTTGCTTGGTTTTATGCAGTTTCCTAATGTAATAAGGGAGCTCTGGTAGCATAGTGGCTAAGACACTTGCCTGCTAACCAGATGGCTGGCGGTTCAAACCCACCAGCCACTCCTCGGAAGGAAGGT